TTTTTTTTTTTTTTTTTGCAGAACTCGGAGAAAATTGTACGATCGGTTTGCAAGAAGATGCTCGCGCGAAATACAATCCCGCGCGAACGTTCGCGACGCGTCTGTTGTTTAATCGACTCGACGCGAAAAAACCGAAAACTTGTGTCTCTTGATTTTGTCACGTTCGATTAAGATTTTAATTTTTGTATCTTTACTTTTTGCATCAACAAGACCCCTGTGTTTTATTGTGTACATATTGAATTCTCGGAGGTTTTCAATCTTCGCATCCTCGATCTACGCAGGATCGTCGTCACTTTCAGGATTCTCGAAACACACAACATAATTTTCGCGTCTGGGTTTTCGCGACGCGACGCGTAGTTCGACAATTTTGCCAAATCCTCGAATTTCCCGACTTCTCGATTTTTTTTTTTTTTTTGTTCCCTTCGCGCTCTCGCACGCAACATCGGCTATTAGCGATCCCGAAAAAAAAAAAAAAAGTTCTACGCCATCGTGCGTGCAGCGCGCAACGCGCGCGCGATGACTCATCCGACGACGACGGCGCGAGCACACCGCTTTATGTGCACGCGCATGTATTGTGTACACTTGTACGTTTCATACAACCGGTGTCTCGAGATATACACATTACGCCACGACGAACGCGGCGTAAACCATCGTCGTATCGAGTAAAGAGAGCTCTATCAGTTTTCGCGCGATCGATGCGTTTAGTCTCGATGTATATATTTCGAATAACATAACAATATGTTAAATTTTCTATTTAAGATCGCTCGAGTGAAAAAACTCCAGCGATGAGACACCGAAGGGACTTCCGCGTGATCGATAGCATTACGCTCGTCAGTGTCTCGAAGACCGAGACACTGGTATCACACCGCGGTCGGTATCACGTCAGCACATTTGATGTATATATGTATACGTATTATATAGTCGGTTCCTTCATTTCGTATCGCTTGTAACTCAAGACGATTTTACTATCGCGACGAAAAAATCGAATCGATAGTCGAGTAATTTGTAAAAAAAATCGTAGAAAGTCTCAGAAACACACGCTCTGTGTATTCAGAGAGATTATAAATTTCTTTTTGGTTCCGTTGTTTGTGATTTCGAATCGCTTGTAAAACAAAAAATCAAATTTTACATCGCGACGACGGAATCGATCGAAGAATCCGTGGACTCGAAGAAAGTCGTGACGGTCTGCGTGAATATATAACAAAGTTTCTCGAATCGCTGCCGCAAAAACGCTCGAGTTTTCAACGCTCGAGAAATTACGTGCGCCGTATTGTTGGAGAGATTAAATACGTCAGGGAGTAAAACACAGAAAGGCAAAGACAAGCTGTTTAAATAACACGCTGAAAAGCGAAATGAATTCAGGAGAGTTTCACACAGAACTGGCGTATGTACACAAATACTAATTTATGAGTGATGTAAAAAATAAAAAAAATAAAAAAAAAACATTATCGCGCGTTTCGACAGACCGTGAAATAAATTGTCAATTATTTCGGATAATCGACGCGCGACGTTTCTTGACGCCGATCGCTTCATTTCGTTTGCGCGCGCGCACGCCGATAACAATATCGTTCACATACGCAAGACACGATAACGAAATTTGACGGCACGATTAAACACACTCGCGTGTATTTTCCCAGATGATTCTCCGTGACGAATTTCTATTTTCTCCCTCTTTATCTATCTATCTCTCTCTCCCTCCCACATTTAAAGAGAACCTTTTCTCCTCCCGATCTCACCGTGTGTCGGCGCGATTCTTTCCCCGCGCGCGCGCGCGCGAGATAATCGCGATTAATCGATGTATTTTCAGGCTCCTCTAATCTGCCCCGGGAACGGAGATAAGATTGGCACCAGTCTTTTATGACGGCACTGGCGCGCGTGATAAGGCGCACTTCTGAAAATTTAATCGTCTATTCTTCGACGATTACGCGACGCTTTGCGTATATAAGAGAAAAAAAAGCACGTGATCCCTCAAACACCGCGCATGACGGAACCAGCTTTTATTAGCCGCGCGAATGTGATGTTACTCTCTCATTATTTACATGTGCTGTTCCAGAAGTGTTTACAGAATCGCGCGATTTCCGGATGCGGATAGCGGGAAAGCGCCTCGACATTCCTCGGACGCGATCTCTCGATTTTTCATTTCGCAGAACGGAAATTTAGAGAGAGAGAGAGAGAGAGAGAGAGCCAACCCCTCTTGGGAAACGCGAGGAATTCGAAGGAGAAACGCGGAAAGACCATAAACAACCCTTTAGGAAGTCTCTCCGGTTCGAGAGACGCGTTCGTTTGTGTTTCAACGCGTGGTCATCTACTCCGTGTGTACCAAAGATAGAGTCTGACATCATCCACGCACGCGGGTCGCATCAGTCGGGTCGAACGGGCCGATAAACATATGTACTCGCGCGCACGCGGCGTGTCCTCGTACATACACACGCGGAAAGGTTTCCAGTTTACAACTGTCTCGATCGATCGATGCACCCGCCGATGCTCGCCGCGGGGCGTTGCGCGATTCTTCGCGGTCTTCTACTTTCTCTTATTTCTCCTCGGACGCGCGCAAGTATAAGCATGTATGTACACACGTAACGAACGCGGGATTTGTTTATCTATATATATATATATGCTTCATTTCTTTTACCGATTGCAGACGCGATTAAATTTAAAAAAAGAAAAAAAAACATTCTCAATTGTTCGTGCGAGAAACAGAAGCGACGAGAGATCCTCGTCGTTTAGTGTTTTTTATAACGAATATATTATGCAACGATGTCGCGATAACGCGCAGTAGCATATTCTCGTCGTCTCGCACGCGGAGATTTCCGCACGCGGCAAAAAAAGAGTCGCGCGAACGAGAGAGAAACATCGACGACGAAGAGATTGAGAATCTTGGAAAAAAAAAAAAAAATCGCGAAGATTTTTTTGACTAAAGTATGTAACACACGACGAGTACGTGTATATTCGTCGATGTGTAACAGCGATTACGTATCGCCGTGATGATGATATCGGTTTTATCTTAAAATTGTGACGTCAGCGTCGAGAAAACAAATTATACGCAAACTTTTTCCTTGTAACAGTTCAATTTTTCTTCAATGGAACTATCGCGCGTGTAATCAGGTAAAAAAGAAAAAAGAAACAAGAAGAAGAAAAACACAAACGCGGACTTGCAAAACACACGCCAAAACTTGTTATCGCTGAACCAACATTGTGTGGTTCTCGCTCATCTTCTCTCGTATAAAAACTTACTCTTCGCGAAAAAAGAAAAACAGACGGAAAGAATTCGACGTATCGTTACAGTATTTCTGACGCAAGAAATGGAAATGACGAATTTTCGATTTTCTCAAGACTGTTGTTGCGGTTTCCACGTCTATTTTTGTGAGCGCCGTTCCCCTCGTCTCTGCTGCTCTCGTGAAAATTCAACTCGTGTCAAACGCGGTTGTTTCGAAACAACGAGCGGAAAAGTCAATATCGCGTTCCGATTTCTCCGGTTTTTTTTTTGAGAGCGAGTGCGCCGCGTATCATCGCGAAAGAGGCTTATTGTGTTGTTCGATCGCGAATAATACGGCGATTTATCCAGAAGCGTGGATATAACAGGCAGCTTAAAGTAACACGTAACACCCGCTGCTGTGTTGCGCCGATAAGACGGCGTCTTTTGTACATACATATACACACATACATCGACGAACGTCACAAATCCGACGCGCGATAAAGTAAACGATGTACAAGATAATACGTGCTATATAGCGCGTCTCGCTAATTATCGATATAAATGATAGCTTTGAAGTGATGTTCTTTCTCTCTCTTTCAAAATTGTTTTTTTTTCTTCCCCGTCCGATTGAATCCTTGAATCTTTCTCGCGCAATGTCGAATCATCTATAATCGTTTTATCGAAAACTCTCGCTTTTTTTGGTGTGTATCTAGAAAAAAATTCAAATCTTCCGAAGTGTCCGTGCGTCGAGAGACTTCGCACGGATGGTGGGGCGGATCGGAGAGCGATAAGTTTTTAAACAATGATGTATGCACTTCAACAGTCTTATCGAAATTTTTCTCGGAAAAAATCGTGTCACTTTTCAAGAAAAACATCATGAATTTCTGACGCAACGACGTGCGAGTGACGTGATATAATTTGCATATTATTTTTGAATAATATTGAAATAAGCCTAAAAAAAGCCTCGGCGATTTTTGAAAAGGTTAAGAGGAAAAAAACAAAATACAAAATTTATTAGTTAACACAGATGCAAATATTTCAGGTCTAAACATCAGGATCGATGCGAGACGATGTGTGCACGCAAATGTACAACATAGGTATATTTTTTTTTCGAAAAGACTTTTGAACAGAACGCGCGACATCCGGATTTGGCTCGTGACCAATGCGTCTTTTTCGCAACAAAAGTTTTAAAAATAAAAGAAGATAAATTGAAGTATTTTACATCATAATGTGATATGCGAACTAAACCGCATACCCTTTTGAATTAAATTTAATTCCAATGTTCATGTATTAGTTGATAAACAATTTAACTTAAAAATTTACAAGTTTAAAAAATGTATATTTAGATAAATAATTATAAACAAAGGAATAACGCGTTCTTGAAATCTAAACTAACATTAATTTGGTCAATAAGACCCAACGCGGAATGTTTGTGCAAAACGAATATATAAATATATAAAATATATATATATTTATTTATATGTTTCAGTGTAATTATACACATGAATATTT